GGGAAGGGTAAAGGGATGCCGCAAGCACTGTTTTTGACATTTTAGGACAGGAATATGAAAAGGGCAATTCTCTTCGCATCTTTGCGACCTTTGATCAAGGGCTTGAAGTCAGTATAACGAGTACCAATAAAAACATGATATATTCAGAAGCATCCTGGAGTCTACAGAATATATTCATATATGTTCCCACAATGTCTCCTGTAATCATTACTAATAAACTAGTGTCCATTTGGAGATTCTGGGAGAAAACCCCACCATTTTCCCTGCGTCTCTGGTAACATTAAGAAGTTTGTGACAGTAACTCCTGTATCTATTTCGATTGAGGTTTTTGAGGGGTCTCCATTCATGTTGGAGTTGACGACGATTCCAATCAGTCCTATCATTCTTGGTCTCGGCTTGGAAATTTCCTCATATCACAAAGCCGAGACGTTGGACAACCTGCAAGCCCCACGAGCCGCCGCACGCGGTCCAAAACGCAGGAGTGGGCGAGAAAAAGAAAACATCTTCACCAGGAAATTGCATCCATTCTTGTGCACATTGGTCGAGTGGTCAAAGATACCCGACATTTTCTCAGCCAAAACCGAAGAGACACGTTGTCCCTTCACCTGAATAATTACAATTCATGATACCTTGTCAATATGGAACAATAAATTCATGGTTCATACAAAAGGACCGACTTGGCATTCCTGAGGCTCAAAGTCTCAAGAGAGAGCACACAACTGGGGGACCAGAGCCGCAATGCAGAAGATGTGATAATTGGACCAAATCTGGAACAAGCCAAGAGCCACAAGGAACATTGGAGCTGAGCTTTTAGCGGTATTGAATCCCTGCAAACGGGACAACATGGCGCCAGAACTTGCTCAATCAGGGCCCGTCCACCTGGGGCCGAACCAATCCTGAGAAGCGACTGGTGACTGAACCAAGAATTCTTCCGTCTCAGGGCCTGATTAGGATGGGCCATTTTACCGTATACGAGATGATTGCAGGGAAAATTAGAATAATTCTTGGTGGTTCAAAGCTTTCTACCCCAGTCAGGCTTTGAATTTTCGAAGACTAATTCTTTCATGAGCTGAGCAACAATGCGGGCCACCAACTCTTCAGGGAGGTGGCTTCAAACTCAGCCTTGTCGCACCGCCAAAAAAAGACCACGCCAGACAAGAGTCTGGACGAAACAGACATGACCTCCACTTGTGTGTCCGTTGCCTGCAGATTGTGCAGCAGCCCATCACCTCGGCTGCATATCTTTTCGAAATTTGGGAAACATTCTCCGTTTCTATGTCAAGAGTGGTGGGGACTGGCTTTGCTGTCGGAATGGCAAACGAGCAGTTTGCGTATTTCCCAACCTCTCACGTTTCTTAATTTATTCAGTGCAGTCGCTCTTTAATTTTGGAGTTCTCTCGGGGCCAGCTCCATTGTGTTTCTTTGGCTGAACTACTATTATACCCTCCTCATTACACATAAATCCAGTAAAGATGGGTGACAAAATGGCTGCTCCCGCCGTGCCTGCTGGCAAGGAATGGTCTCATGGTTTTTGGTCCTGCTGCGATCCATTCAGTACATGTATGCTCAAGATTGCGCGCTTTCCTCTGAAGAGATCTAATGAAATGCTAACTTGGTTCTTGATCAGGCTTGTTGACTTACTTCTGTCCCTGCATGGTCTTTGGTAAAACTGAAGCTCGGCTGAAGGAGCCAGGAGCCACTGAGCACAGTAGTATGAATGGCATGGTAAGCAGCAATGCGCTCTGTGCTGACTATACAGCGAAGAGGAATGGAATTGAATTGTTTAGCTGACATTAAACTCCATCAAACAGTGTTGTGCTTGGGCATGCTTGGCCTACGTAGGGTGTTCATGTATCCTCACAGCACTCCAACGTAGCAAGATTCGAGATACTTATGGTATCGAGGGCTCAAGCGCGACGGACTTTTGCGCATCATTCTGCTGCCCCTGCTGCACCATTGTGCAAAATTCGAAAGAATCCGTGACGAGAACGCAGGCAAATGGAGCTTATCAATCACCACCAGCCATGCAATATCCATGAAAAGGGCGCGATGTGGGAATTGAAAGAACCAAGAAGGCAGCATTCGTGACAGGATTGCAGTTTTCGTTTAATAAGACCTCTATTGTATTGCTTTTGTTTTGCTTTGCATGCTTTTATACCTCCTGAGTAATTATTTATTGTCTATTTCCACTTAATCCCTCTCGCTTCTACAAGAACTGGATGATCCTGGAATGGCCCATGTCTGCCGATTCTTACATAGATACCTGCTTCACTTGGCGCAACCATTTACTTATTTACTTCCAGAATTTGACAGGCTAATACGATTATTTAGCTATTTATTTATTTATTTATTTATTTATTCTTTTATTTCATTATTTATTATTTTATTTTGTTATGAATTTTACGACTGTTTTCTAACCCAACTCACAGGGGTGGATTCGGAAACTTGCGCTTGATCCCCTCCCCCTCCCCCAACCCCAGAAATCCTGCTCCTCCAATTAACTCGGATGACCCCCGAATCATCAAGAATTTACTCTGTCCTTCCATAGGTCAGATTATCTATGAAGAGTTACAAATCACGGGCTTACATAGAACAGTTTGTGAGGTGCATGGGAGCCCTAGAGTCCCGCATAGTATGTACAGTACATATATCAGACTCCCCACAACAGTTACCTAGGCTTGCTAGGCAACCCTATGTTGGCTGATGCCGGGGTGTTGTCCTTGTTGACCCCACTCTCCCGGCTCCGGTCGTAACCGGTGGAACCCTGGGACCGACCAGCCCCAACCCGCGAGATTGATAAGAATATGGTACCCCTATTTATTTTTATACATACGCCCTATCTTACTCGAAAACACACCTGGACACCTTTTTCATAGTGGATTTGTTTAAGATTTTAGTTTACATCGAAAATTTTGCAATTCTCTTCCCAGCTGAACACCATGCCTCCTCCATCAGCTACAGGTACAGAAACGGCAAGCTCTAGTTCCGCTGCCGTGCAAGTTAACGCGCAAGTGATGCCCCCTTTCCCTCGACCTCCGGTTTTCAAAGACAAGTATAAAGAACGACAATATCTGAAAGGGAGATTAGCTGCTGCCTTTCGAATCTTCGGAAAGTATGGCTTTGACGAGGGTGTTGCCGGCCATATTACGCTCCGGGACCCTGTCGATCCCACAACATTCTGGGTGAACCCCTTTGGTGTCGCCTTCTCTCTCATCAACGCCTCCGACCTTATTCAGGTTGGCCATGACGGAAGGGTGATTGACGGCGGGAAGGTCCGTCTACTGAATACGGCAGCATATATGATCCATGCCGCAGTGCATAACGCGCGGCCAGATGTGGTTTGCGCTGCACACAGCCATAGTATCTATGGACGCACATTTTGTGCTCTTGGGAAAGTCGTTGGATATGACGACCCAAGACTCCTGTGCCTTCTACAATGTGCGTTCCTTTCTATCTTCTCCACTTCATCCTTATCTCTATTCCCCTTCAAAATCGATCGAGGCTATAACCCTGTTTTAAAATTTACTCATTATTCTCACATACCTCCTGTTTGTCTCGTGATATCTTCCTCTGGTCAGAAAAATAAATGGCAGCATCTCGTTCTCCGCGCCCGCACCATGCGGCAAAATATAAACTAACTTTGAATATGTTCCTTGACACCTTTTAGGATCTCGCTATCTATAAACAATTCAAAGGCGTCGTCCTTGCTAAAGAGGAGGGTGAAAACATCGCAAGCACGCTAGGCAACAAAAAGGCCGCCCTTCTGCAAAATCACGGTCTTTTGACTGTGGGCAAAACGATTGAGGAGGCGGTATTCTGGTTCATCTCTCTGGAGAGATGCTGCCAATCCCAATTGATGGCGGATGCCGCAGCAGCGGGTCGCGGCAGTGTGACCGTGAAAATCGAAGATGAGGATGCGCTCTTTACCTATAAAACCATTGGCACTCCTGGAGCAGGCTACTTTAATGCGAAACCCCTGTTCGATGTCATCCATAAGGAAACAAATGGAGAGTATTTGCAATAAACGGTGTCCCCGTATCAGAGGGGGGAAAATTGCAGTGCACTTGGATGGCACCAATGGCGATGGATGGCCTATTTGGGGATTGAATGGGTGAACCTCGGTCAAGGCAGACCTATGAGTATAGATGGACCTATGAGCAATGTTTCTAGCACGCAGTTATGAATGTGAATGTTGATGTTACGATTATGGATTAAGAGTGGTGTGGGCACTCGGGGATGTGAAGCTACAGTTAGCTAACGATCCGTTACATGTTGGGTATATTCGTAACACAAATCTTTGTGCCATGGCAATAGCTACGGAATTTAATATTGTATTGAATAGTATTAGGCCACTAGGGCAAAAGAGCTCAATCACCACCAGCGCCGTGGTGGTCCACTATAGAGGGTACGAATCACCCAATCCAATCCCCCCAACAAATAGTTCATATCTTGAATGTGTGCGCTTTGTTAGCCCAATGTTTATCACGTGAATATGAGGTGCCAACCTTCCCAGAAGCACAGACCACATCAATCCACTGAAATTTTCATTCTCGGAGTTTTGTTTTTCCTTCTACAAGAAAAAAAAGTTTTGATAAAATTAATCTTCCTATTCCAACATCTCCTTTTCCATCCTCTAACCCTCTTCATCCGTTGCATTTTTAACTTCCTCTTGCCGAGAGGGGTGTGTTTTCCTACTCTTCTTGTTTAATTTTTGTTGAAATATTTTTCATCTGTTTTAACCCTCTCTTTAGTCTCTTCAGTGAACTGAGCCTTCAGAATGCTTGGTTCCGTTCGTCGAGGAAATGTCCTCGCACGCACTCTACGAACGTGCATTGCGCGCCCGATTAGAATCCAGTCAGGCATCCAGCAATCAATAAACACATTCCGGATATCTCAACAAACGTCTTTCTTCCCGACGAGAGCTTTCCATGCATATCCGGCCCTCAGGTCTTCCCAAGCAGCCAGCGCCGTGAAGGAAGTCGAAGAACCACCAGCTGAGCTCACTCAGTTTTCCGAACTAGCTTCCAATGGTTTGGTCAGCGACAATATCATTCGCGTTCTCACCAATAAGATGAATATTACAACTATGACAGATGTACAGAGGATGACGATCAATGCTACGCTAAATGGTTCTGATGTGTAAGTAAAGCTATTCTTACGATTTTGGTTTCCATTCAATTTGTCTGATATTTCCATTGTAGTCTCGCCCAAGCGAAAACTGGTACCGGAAAAACCCTTGCTTTCCTCCTTCCAGTTATCCAAAATATCCTTAAAGATCAGCACCTCGCCCAGCGCCCAAGGTTTTCTCGTAACCAAACCGACGCATCAGACATCCGTGCCATAATCATTTCCCCCACTCGTGAACTTGCCGAACAAATTGCTGTCGAAGCAAGGAAACTCGTGTCAAATACAAGCATCATTGTCCAAACAGCTGTGGGAGGGACAAAGAAGCGTGAAGGTTTGATGCGGATTCAGCGTGATGGGTGCCATATCCTGGTTGGCACCCCTGGCCGCCTTATCGACATATTCTCTGACCCAAACAGCGGTGTTGCTGCCCCGAAATTGAGTGCGTTAGTTCTCGATGAAGCGGATCGTCTGCTTGATATTGGCTTCGCTCCTGACATCCAAGAACTTCAAACCTTTCTTCCCCATCGCCGAGACGTTGACCGACAAACTCTTATGTTTTCCGCTACTGTCCCGCGAGAGGTGATGTCCATGGTTCGCCAGACTATGAAGCGCGATTTCGCTTTTGTCAAGACTGTTCAAGAGGATGAAATTCCGACTCACCTGACCGTTCCTCAAAAGGCCATTTTCCTCCGAGGCATGGAAAATCAACTGCCAGCCATTTTTGAGCTAGCGAAACAGGGCATCGAGAAACATCGAAGCGATCCTGCGAATAATATGCCCTTCAAAGCGATTGTCTATTTCAATTCTACCGCCGAGGTGACTTTGGCAAAGCAAGCCTTTGCAGCGATGAGATCAAGCGCCTCTTCGTTCTCTCATCCACTGCCTGATACTCAGTCCTATGAAATGCATTCTCGCCTGACTCAAGACCAGAGGACAAGATTTTCAAACATGTTCCGTAGCTCCAAATCTGCTATTCTTTTCTCTTCCGATGTTACCGCACGGGGAATGGACTTCCCTGATGTCACCCATGTGATCCAGATAGGAATCCCACGGGATAGGGAAACATATATTCATCGCCTCGGACGGACAGCTCGCGCCAACAAGAAGGGAGAGGGCTGGCTCTTCACTTTGGATCTTGACAGCGGCAATCTAAGGCGAACCCTTAGAGACCTCCCAATCCAAATTGACGATTCCAGTCTTCTCACTGCAGCAGCTGACATGACCACGGACATTGGCCACCCACCTTGGGTCTCCGATATATTTTCCCAGGTGAAAAGCGGCTTCAAAACGGTTTCGATCAAGGACAAATCTGCAGCCTATGCCGCATATTTGGGCGTAATGAGCCATATTAGAGATAAATTCGAGGTTGTTCGCCTTATCAACCAACTCTCGACTCATGGCTGGGGTTTGCGGGAACCCCCTGCTTTCTCCGCAACGACGGCTTATAAACTCGGGTATAAGGGCGTCCCAGGTCTGAATACCAAGAATCCTTATGAGAATGAGGACGCTCGCGAATCCTCTGGGTCTCGCGGTTCCTATGGGTCTATTAACTCCTACGGCTCTCGTGGCTATGGTTCTCGTGATAATTTTACTCCCCGAACGCCTTACGGCTCTCGTGGTTCCTCTGGCGGCCGTGGTAGTTCGTATGGCGGCGGCATTCGAGGTTCTCGTGACTCTAATTACAGATCTGGGAGCGGGCGCGACTCTTTTAATTCCAGAACAAACCGTGGTAATCCGTTCGACTTCGACTTTTGAGTCAATTACGAGTCCAGGCGTCCAGGGCACAAAGCTGTTATTAACTCTCTAGTTTCCCATTCAACGCTGCTCGCATCACATCCTGACGCATTAATTAAAAATGCACGATGCGTGATTTGGATGTATTCTGAAATACAATTATCCAAACTTTCTTCATTTTCTTTTCCCGCACTGGCATGGCGCAGAGTTTGGCGTCGGACCATTCCTCTTCCTCTCTCGCTCGCGACGATCATAGACATAGGGCACTGCATGTTTATTTCCTGGTGTTCCTCCTTTTTGTTCACGTTAAAGCTTATCGGGATTTTTCACTTTTGTCCTCCACGATTGGGAAGACGTTTCCTTTTTCCTTCTTCCATTTTTATACCGGTGTTATAGGTTGAAAAGGTGTTGTTCGTCTTCTTTTCTCTATCGACTGAGGGTGCCATGTATTTCCCATTCACAGATTCGTTTCTTCAATCTGTGTTAATTACATCTGTTGCAACCGATTTATTTATCCTAAATCTCTTCTCCCCTTTTCTTCATGACTGTACAGTAGTGGCTCCTGCCTTGTGTATCTTTTGTCCTCCATCCCGCGTTTATTCAACTCATAATTTTCTATTCCTTTGTTATCTGTGTTACCGAGAAAACAATCCTCTCGTTATGAAATTAATCCTTTGCTTTTAACTACTCGATTCATCTGACAGCGCACTTTTCAAGTGTAGGTTTTCACAAATGCTTTCGGTGGGCCATAGATGATACATTTCGTATCGTTGGGATTGCCACTGTGATGTTTCTCGGCAAGACAACGCCAAAATCTACGCCTTTATTAGCTATAGAAAAGCAGTTCATCTTCATTTATCTGTCCAAATCATTCTTGCTCATTCATCTATTACGACTTCACAAAAGGGGCATTGAACAATAATAGCATCTGGGGGGCTGGCCACCGATCGAATTCGGTTGGGAAATAAAACTGGGAAAAGCCCGGCATCATGCTACCGAGGGAAAGTCAAAGAACGTTTTGCTCGGAAAAAGCTTCATTGTTTCATTGTTCCAGCTCGACAGTGTCAAGCCAGTTCTCGGGGGCGAGATTCCAGGATGCGAACCCTGAATGTCTCGGGCGCTGTGGCTTTCAACCAAGGCAGCGGCTGCTCTTGGCGAGCCAGAGAGACTTGTAAGCGCTGTCGTCGACGTCGAACTACTCCTGCGCAACCACGTAAAGCTTCAGCTCAACACCCATTCACACGACTGGCAACGTCACTCTCCGGGCGGCTACGGAAACAATAATAGGTACAAAGTGACTGCCGGTATCTGCATTGTCTATCTATCCCCTGTGTTATTAATAGAATAAATATAGTTTACTCTTGATTTATAACTATGTTGCAGCGCTCTTTTTCTTTGACCACTGTTGGGTCGTATCCTTTCTTTGCTCGTCAAGAGCTATTACAACTCCAATTTTTTGCGTAGTGAGGGATTGTCTTGTCAAAATTCTGCCTGGCGCAGCCTTATTTGGTATTTGTTACCTCTTCTCCCGGCCGCATTCAGGCCTGCGATGCCACTCCTAGCTAAAGATAGGAATGGCAACTTTGAACCACCCTTTTCAAGCACGGCTTGAACAACTAGCACCAGATGCCGTCATTAAATTGAACGTGGCATGTCCCAGGCTCGTTAGGGAATATGTGTCATTCGCGCGTGAAGGCGACGAGGGGATAGCCGAGAGTCTTCTGAAACAGAAACGCCAGGAAACTTTTGCATCCAAGTCGCATATTTTTCGTCGGCAACCTAGCAAACGCGCTTTTAGCAACCACGAAATTCACGCCGTCATAGAGCAGCTAGTTCGAACAGATGGCTCCCTTGGGGTCCTCGATTACCTCCTGACAAAAAGCAACGATGCAAAACTCGAGAAGCACCTCTTCAAACAGCAGCGGCAGCATGTGACCAAGAGCGATATTGGCTCCCTTCTAATATGGGCGGCGCGAATGCAGCATCCATCTATGGTGTATCTTTTGAGTCTACATTCCGACGAGACTGGGTTAAATGAAGCCTTGGACGTTGTTGTGTCGGGACGTCACATGGAGTGTACGAAAACCCTGCTTCAGAATGGGGGGGACGCCAACTTTTGCCAGCAAGCATTCCTGGCAGCAGTGGCACGCGGAGACACACCACTGGTCGAGTTACTCCTAAGTGCTGAAAAACGAATAGCGGCTTCTTGCCTTGATCAGGCGTTACCTAGCGCTGTTGCTGTCGGACGCTTCGATCTGGTTTCAGCGCTGCTGAAAAGCGGAGCAGATGGCAATGTGCCTGGGGCCCTGGAAAGTGCAGTTCGCGCACGGAGTAGGGATATTGTTATTGCATTTATTTTGGCAGATCATCCGCCCTCGAAGACATCTCTTGATCGCGCTGTCGAAGTCGCCTTTGATGAAATTGAATCCGGTTCTGATCTCCAAAGAACGCTCATTGAGATCATTCTCTGTGGCGGCGCGAATGGAGAAGCGGTCCCCAAAATCCTCTTCAAAGCTGTTGAGCGGAATGACGAGAAACTTGTCTCCTTGCTTGTCACGTACGGTGCTTCTGTGACGTACAATTCGGCCGAAGCTATCATTCATGCAATTAAAATGGGAAATACCAACTTACTGGCGAGTTTATTCAGCGCTCGTATCGATGGACAATATGCCTCTCATATTTTAACAATGCTCCCTAAAATTGCCTCGAGTATTCCACCCTCGAAGCAGTTGGCAATTATTTCCACACTGGTGGAGCGAGGAGCTTGTGGATACGCGCTTCATCCCTGTTTGGTGGATGCAGTTCAGCGAAATTACTATACTATTGTCGAATATCTTGTGCAAAAACATGCCTCCGTCGATTATGATAACGCTGAAGCTCTTCGTTGCGCAGTTTCTTCTGTTTCTTTACCGCTATTCGAGCTGCTTCTCAAGGGCTGCCCTTCGAAGGAGTCTTTGGAACTTTGCTTTCCCTTATTAGAAGCTGTCCCTTCTAAACCTCGTCTGATCATGGCAGGACGCCTGTTGGCAGCTGGCGCGAAGGGCGTCGAAGTGGAAAATGCCTTGATCAAAGCAGTAATGTCTGATTTTACGATGGAAAAGATGCCCCTTATTTACGAGTTTGTGCGGCACGGAACCGATGTGAATGTTCACGCAGGGAAATGTTTCCGGGAATCTGCGGCTGCAGGCGATATCGATGCTTTAAAGTTACTCTTAAAAGGAGTTCCTTCGCCTGCTTCACTTGCCCAGGGAATTATTCCTGCCCTTAACTTACCGAACTCCGATCTCCGATTCGCTATACTGGATCTGCTTGTTTCCGCCGGTGCGCGTGGCCCTCCTGTCGACGAAGGCCTCCTATATGTGATTAATGACAAACCTGTAGATATACCCTTACTGCAGCTGCTGCTTGATAAAGGCATTGCTGACGTCAATGCCAACAATGGGAAGTCGATAGAACTGGCAACCAAACAGGGAAATTCTGATCTCCTTCAACTGCATCGTATCATACAACCCAAGCCACTCGAGCTTAAATACTGCCGAA